AATTCCAAAAATGGTGGATTTTTATATTTCCGGAGAAAGATTTTAAAAATATTCGGTTCGAAATTTAATTCGTTTGAAAATCCAAAAAATTTCCATGATTCAGCGGGAGATTTTGGAAAAATGGTAGCAGTTATGAAAGAAATGGGACCGAAAATAACTTTTGATGATTGAAATTTACAAGAGAATGTCTTTTGAGTTTCGAAGATGAACAAAAATGGGCCGAAATTTTCAAAAATTTTTCACTAAAAAATTTTGTTTTTTGTGTACTGATTCTTAAAATATAGCGTTTTTATGGCTGCGGAGCAAGGTTTTAGAAATATTCGGTTTCAAATTCAATTTTTTTAGAAATCCAAAAAATTTTCATAATTCAATGGTCGATTCTGGAAAAAGAGTAAGATTTATTGAAGAAATCAAGCCGAAAGTAACTTCTGGAGATCGAAATCTACAAGAAAATATCTTTCATTAAGTTTTGAAGGTGGACGAAAATTGGCCGAAATATTGAAAATTTTGTTTTATAAGTTTTGAAAAATTTTGATTTTGAAAAAGTTGGAAAAAAATTCTCAACTATTTCTGAGATCTAGATTTCGAGGTGCCGATTCCAAAAATGTAGCACTTTTATTGTCCCGGAGAAAGATTTTAGAAATATTCGATTTGAAATTCAATTCTTTTCGATATCTAAAAAAAATCCCATGTTTCAGGGAGCGATATTGGAAAAATGGAAGGAGTTATGGAAGAAATGAGGCCGAAAATAACTTTTGAACTTGCAGTTTATAAGAAAATGTCTTTACGTTTCGAAAGTGGACAAAAATGGGCCGAAGTTTTCAAAAATTTTTCACTAAAAAATGTTTTTTAATAATTCTGCCATCTAGATTTGGACGTACTAATTCTGAAAATATCACGTTTTTATGGCTGCGAAGCAAGATTTTAGAAATATTTGGTTTAAAATTCAATTTTTTTAGAAATCCAAAAAATTTTCATAATTCAATGGTCGATTCTGGAAAAAAACAGTAAGACTTATTGAAGAAATCCGACCGAAAGTAACTTCTCGACATCGAAATCTACAAGAAAATATCTTTCGTTAAGTTTTGAAGGTGGACGAAAATTGGCCGAAATTTTGATAAATTTTTCATTGAAAAATTTTGATTTTAAAAGTTGGAAAAAATTCTCAAAAAAATCTGAAATTTAGATTTAGAGGTGCCGGTTTGAACTTAAATTCTTTTCAAAATCCAAAAAAAAAAAAATTATGGAAGTTATCGAAGAAATGGGGCCGAAAATAACTTTTGAACAACAAACTTTACAATAAATTGTCTTTAAGTTTCGAAAGTGGACGAAAATTGGCCGAGATTTTCAAAAATTTTTCACAAAAAAATTTTGTTTATGAAAGTCACCAAAAAATTCTAACATATAGATTTGGACGTACTGATTCCCAAAATATTACGTTTTTTTGGCTCTAGGGCAAGATTTTAGAAATATTCGGTTTAAAATTCAGTTTTTTTTAATACAAAAAAATTCATAATTCAATGGTGGATTCTCGAAAAACAGTAGGAGTTATCAAAGAAATGGGGCCGAAAGTAACTCCTGTAGATCGAAATATACAAGAAAACATCTTTTGTTAAGTTTTGAAGGTGGACGAAGGATCACCGAAATTCTGATAAATTTTTCATTGACAAATTTGTTTTATAGGTATAAAAAATTTTGATTTTGAAAAAGTTGGAAAAAATTGTTCACAACATTCTAAGATCTAGATTTCGAGGTGCTGATTCCAAAAATGGAACGCATTTATGGTACCGGAGAAAGAAATATTCGGTTTGAAATTGAATTGTTTTCAAAATTCAAAAAATTTCCATGTTTCAACAGGCAATTTTAGAAAAAATAGGAATTATCAAAGAAATGAGACCGAAAATAACTTTTGAATATCGAAATCTAGAAAAAAATATTCGGTTTAATTTCATTTTTTTTTTTTAGAAATCCAGAACATTTTCATAATTCAATGGTCGATTCTAGAAAAACAGTGAAAAATGAGCCTGAAAGTAACTTCTGATTTTTGATTTTGAAAAACTTGAAAAAAATTTTGAGTTCTAGATTTCGAGGTGGCGATTCCAAAAATGTCCCGCAGAAACATTTTAGAAACATTCAGTTTGAAATTGAATTTTGTTTTTGAAATCCAAAAAATTTCCATGTTTTAACGGTCAATTTTTGAAAAAATAGTAGGAGTTATCGAAGAAATGAGACCGAAAATAACTTGTGAAGTGGACGAAAATGAGCCGAAATTTTCAAATGTTTTTCATTGAAAAATTTTGCTTTTGAAAGTCATCAAACAATTCTCAAAAAATTCTGAGATCTAGATTTCAACGAACTGATTCAAAAGTATAACATTTTTATGACTCCAGAGCAACATTTTAGAAATTTTCTATTTACATTTTAATTTTTTTTTTAGAAATCTAAAAAATACGCATAATTCAATGGTCGATTCAGGAAAAACAGTACGAATTATGGAAGAAATGGACGAAAATTGGTCGAAATTTTGATAATTTCATTGAAAAACTTTGAACAAATGAACAAATTTGGTTTTGACAAAGTTTGGAAAAAAATTCTAAAAAAATTCTGAGATCCAGATTTCGAGGTGCTGATTCCAGAAATGTGGCATTTTATTGGTCCCAGAACACAGTTTTAGGAATTTTCGGTTTGAAATTCAATTTTTTCAGAAATCCAAAAAGTTTCCATATTTCGATGACGATTCTAGAAAAATGTTAACTTTTGTAGATAAAAGTCTACAAAAAAATGTCTTTCAGTTTCAAAGGGGGACGAAAATGGGCGAAAATTTTTAAAATTTTTTCTTGAAAGTCACTAAGAAGTTCTCAAAAAATTCTGAGATCTAGATTTCGACGTAGATTCCAAGAATATAACCTTTTTATGGGTCCGGAGCCACATTTTGGAAATATGCGGTGTAAAATTCATTTTTTTTTTAGAAACCCAAAAAATGTCCATAATTTGATAGCGATTTTGGAAAAATGGATAGAAGTTATAAAAGAATTGGGGCCGAAATTAGCTTAAGTAGATCGAAACTACAAGAAAATGTCTTTCGTTAAGTTTTGAAGGTGAAGAAAAATTGGCCGAAATTTTGATAAATCTTCAAGCATTGAAAAATTTTGATTTTGAATAAGTTTGAAAATAAATCTCAAAAAATTCTGATATCTAGATTTCGAGGTGCCGATTCCAAAAATACACCGTTTTTATGGCTCCGGAGAAAATTTTTAGAAATATTCGATCTCAAATTCAATTCTTTTCGATATCTACAAAAATTCCATGTTTCAACGGTCAATTTTGGAAAAATGGTAGGAGTTATCGAAGAAATGAGGCCAAAAATAACTTTTGAAGATCGAAATCTACAAGAAAATATCTTTCAGTTTCGAAATTTACAACAATTTTTCAGTAAAAAATTTTGTTTTTGTAAGTCACCAAAAAATTCTCAAAAAAATCTGAGATCTAGATTTGGAGGCACTGATTCCAAAAATATAATGTTTTTATGGCTCCGGAGCAAGATTTTAGAAATATTCGGTTTAGAATTCAATTTTTTTTTAGAAATCCAAAAAATGTTCATCTTTCAACGGGCGATTTTGGAGTCATCGAAGAAATGAGGCCGAAAATAATTTTTGAAGATCGAAATCTACAAGAAAATGTCCTTAAGTTTCGTAGGTGGACATTTTTCATTGAAAAATTTTGTTTCTAAAAAATTCACCAAAAAAATCTCAAAAAATTCTGAGATCTAGATTTCGACGTACTGATTCAAAAATATAACATTTTTATGGCTCCGGAGCAAAACTTTAGAAATATTCTGTTTGAAATACCTTTTTTTTAAACAAAAAATTTGCATAATTCGATGGTCGATTTTGGAAAAATATTGGAAGTTATCTACAAAAATATGCCTTCAGTTAAGTTTGGAAGGTGAACGAAAATGGGCCGAAATTTTCATAATCGAAAAAGTTTGCGTTTAAAAGTTACCAAAATATCCCCAACAACTGGTGTATTAATTCTACTGGGTGTGCATGGGATGGATAAAGATATTGATGAATTCAAGTAAATGCAATCGCTAGTCAAAATTTAAAAGTTCGTTTAAATAATTTCTGAGCTAAATTCTAAACTTTGACAGACGAACAAAATTAAACATAAATGTAGAAAGGAACTTTAATAAATTTTTAAAGAGGATGAACCGATTTTCACTGTTTTAGCTCCTAGGTGATGTTAATTAAATTTTCAGGGTAATGGATTTGGTTGTTTGCGAAGTTGCAACCTAAAAGTTCCCCCAGACGACGGCAGGCGGACAGAACACAAATGGGGGACCTACACTTCCGTACTCGACATAGAAGCACAAGATTTCTTAGAATAAAAATGTAACAATTATACAAAATAAATATGACATATAATTTTAGTATGCAAAGTTTGTACTTTTATTTTTTAACACGTGTATATTAAGTGCTTTTTAATGTTATCTGTACTATCCACAACGCTGGCGTCATAGATCAATTGGATCCCAAAAAAGTGCTCGAGATTAATTAACGTAATACATAATTATCATGTGCAAAATTATCTAACAAGTGCACGAGATCTCGTCTCCCCAATTGTTATTGATAATAATTGTATTATTATTATAATACAATATAAAAAAATAAAAGTAATAACTGACAATGAAGTACTCCTATTTTTTTTTGACGTGTATAATAGGCAAAAACAAAAATTTTGGATTATTATTTTTAAAAACTGAAAACTTGGCAGCGACTATACAAGCTAAAAGCCACTCTTTTCATCCTCCACAATTCCAATTCCACGGCTATTTCACTCTTAATTTCCACCAAAAGAATTTCTAAATAATAAAAAAAATGCAAGTCATACCTGTATGCATATCTAATACCTTTTAATTTATCTATCAACATCCCATGTGACCCCACTGCAAATATTTATAGTTCAAGGCTGCCAATTTTCGCTCACTCCATTATCGTCATTCAGTAATGAACCATGTCTGCAAGCAAGCCATTAGACTATGAGTCCCCACACAAAAAAAGCGCGAAAAAATTCATCCTCAAAGAGTACATCCAGTTGACAGCAGGCCCGGCGAATTTTTCAGACCGAGTACTGCAAGCTCTCTCCATGCAATGCCTCAACCCTCTGAGCAAAGAAATGCACCTGGTAAGTCGACACAATAACAATCAACCCCACTAATCCAAAACAGATGATGGACGAAGTAAAGGCGATGCTGCAGTACCTTTTCCAAACCACGAACCCGCTGACTTTAGTCAATCAAACGTCAGGAAGTGGCGGAAATGAAAGCATTCTAACCAATTTGCTTGATCCGGGAGACAAATTGGTAATTGCGGTTGGAGGCACGTGGGGGGAGAAAGTGCAAGACATGGCACAACGATACGGTGAGTACTACTTCGATAGTTATGATTTATTTTTTAATTGAGTGTAGGATTTGATGTACTTGCAATAAGAAAACCTCCGGGTGAAATTTTCACGGTGGAGGAGTTGGAAGCCGCGGTCAAATCGCATCAAGCGAACTTGTTGTTTGTTACACATGGAGAGTCCAGTGGTGGTACCCTCCAACAACTGGAAGGTATTGGACCCATGTGCCACAAGTACGACTGCTTGTTAGCTGTAGACGCTGTAGCTTCCATGGGTGTGGACCCTCTTTATACGGACCGGTGGCAACTAGACGCCGTGTGTACCGCTAGTCAAAAAGCTATAGGGTCACCACCGGGTCTCTGCTTACTGACTTTCAGTCCCCGCGCTGAGTAAGACCCATTTAACTTAAATCTTCCCCCTTGACACTAGTTTTCAGAGAACGCATCAAAGCAAAAAAGAACAAGTCTCCGTACTACTTCGACATGACGCGACAAGGACTCTACTTCGACTGCTTTGTAGACGACCACAGTAGAAAGTACCACTACACTTTTTCGTCGAATTTATTGGCTGCATTGCGTGAAGCTTTGGCCCAACTGTGTGAAGAAGGTTTGTCAGAAGTGTGGGAACGACATAAGAGAAACAGCGAGTACCTGTGGAAGAAAATGGGTGAAATAGGGCTGGACTGTTTCGTGGAGAAAGTCGAAAACCGGTTTCATGGAATCACGTGTGTTAAAATTCCCTCGGGAGTCGATCAATTGGAGCTTTTAAAATTTATCAAAGACAAGTAAGGTGGTTTGGGGGTTTAGTTGGTAGTACTGAGTGTGTTTCAGGTACGACATTGAAATTGCGTACGGGCACGGACCCACTCTTAATAAAGCCATGCGAATCGGGTTATTGGGACAAAACAGTCGCCCCGAAGTGGTGGATTATCTAGTAAAAGCTTTAAAAGATGGAATGGAACAACTGAGAAAGCAAGGTACTAACTAAATTTACCTGATGACACGCACATTTAGTACCATTAAAGGACGTTTTATGTTCAAGCATTTTTATTTCATAAGACTTTCCTCAGTCTTGCCAATATCGCGCTCAACAATACACTAAGTCCAGCAATCAATGTTTGCAAAAAAGATAACTATATTATCCGTCAAAACATCAATATTGCATCAGCAAGTCCGTTTTTGTTCAATTTAGAATAACCTTCACCCTCTGGAAGCATTTTAGCAGATTGATAAAAATCAAAAACGTACTGACCCAACAGTGATTAAACACAATCGTTACAAAATGACCTCACTAAAGTGACCTTGCACTAGTACTTAAAGCGGTTCAAACTCGACTTCTTTTCAATGTTAGCCACGATGGCCGAGAACGAGACCCTAGATTACGAAAATGTGTACAAAAAAAGTGCTAAGCGATTTATGCATAAGGAGTATCTGTTGTTGGGTGGGGGACCAATCAATTGCAGCGATCGGGTACTGAAAGCTATTTCGATGCAAACTTTGAACCCTCTGTCGGTAGACATGCACCAGGTAAGTAAAAACTTGCTTAAACGTTTCTACATTATTTTGATTAGTTAATGGACGAAATAAAGGAGATGACGCAGTACCTCTTCCAAACAAAAAATAGACTTACTTTAGTGAGTCAGACTTCTGGAAGTGGAGGTAATGAAACGATTATTACGAATCTTCTTGACCGTGGAGACAAGTTGGTAATTGCTATTGGGGGTACTTGGGGGGAGAGAGTCCTAGACATGGCGCTACGATACGGTAGGTACTACCTTCGGTACTTGGAGACATTTACACATCTATCTAGAATACGACGTCCTCCCGCTCACAAAACCCCCCGGTGAAGTCTACACTTTAGAAGAACTTGAAAATGCGGTGAAATCTCACAAGGCAAAGTTGTTGTTTGTAACCCATGGGGAATCCACTGGAGGTATCCTCCAAAAACTGGAAGGACTTGGGCCCATGTGTCATAAATACGGGTGTTTGTTGGGTGTAGATGCCGTAGTTTCCATAGCTGTTGACCCGCTCTTCGTCGATAGATGGGAAATAGATGCTGTCAATGCTGGTACCCAGAAAGCTATAGGTGCACCACCGGGAATGTGTTTGCTCACGTTTAGCCCCCGAGCAGAGTAGGTACTACCTCTAGTAATTATTTTTTTAAAGATTGTTCGTAGGCAACGCATGAGAGAGAAAAAAATGAAACCTCCGTACTACTTCGATATGCTACGTCAAGGCATCTATTTTGACTGTTTTGGCGATCACACTAGAATGTAAGTACCACTTCTGCGTCAATCCAGTCTCACTGATCTTCTAGGTTCCATTATACCTTTTCGTCAAATATGTTATCCGCAGTACGTGAAGCTTTGGCCCAGATATGCGAAGAAGGACTTCTCGAAATCTGGGCAAGACACAAACGAAACGTCGAGTACTTCTGGAAACGGCTCGATGAAATTGGGTACACGTGTTTCGTAAAGAAACGCGAAAATAGGTTCCACGGGGTTACGGGAGTTAACGTACCGGAGGGAATTAGCCAGAGGGAGCTCATAAAATTTGCCAAAGACAAGTAAGGTACCTTGAAGACACTAGGAGTACCTAAGACTGCTGTTTCAGGTACGACATCGAAATCGCACCAGGGTTTGGGCCAACCTTAAACAAAGCAATGCGGCTGGGTTTGATGGGTACGAACAGCCGACCAGAAATGGCCGATTACTTAATAGAAGCTTTAAAAGACGGATTGCAGCACTTGAAAAAATGATTGTAGATCTTCATTAAACAATAAAGCCTTTTAAATTCGTCATAATTTTGTTTCCATTACATAACTGCACAAATGTAAGCTAACCGTTATCAAACAGAGCACTTTTTCTATTTTTAAAACGAATGCATGTCACTGTTTACCATTTTTTGCGAAAATATGATAAACCTAAGATGCTTTCGTCAAAAACAATGGTTGCGTCAGAAAATCCAATAAAGATTCAGTTAACAACAAACCGACCAATTACAACGAACATACTCTGCAAAACAAAAGCTTAATCCTCCAAAAAAAATTAGTGACGTCAAGAAGAAAGGATTAACACTGACTTTATCAAGTACTTAAGCAAGTCCGCACACGTATCTTCTCACTGTTATCATCATGTCTGCGAACGAGACGCTCGATTATGAAAGTGTGCACAAAAAAAGTGCTAAGCGGTTTACGCATAAAGAGTACCTTTTGATGGGTGCAGGACCCACGAACATCACTGATCGGGTACTGAAGGCTCTTTCGATGCAATGTTTGAACCCTATATCTGCAGACATGTACGAGGTAAGTGAAAAATTGAGCCTAAACCCCTTTAATAATTATAAACCAGATCATGGACCAAGCGAAAGCGATGCTCCAGTACGTGTTCCAAACCAAGAACAGGTTTACTTTGATTCATCAAACTTCTGGAAACGGGGGTAACGAAGCCATTCTTCTGAATCTGCTTAACCGTGGAGATAAGGTGGTTATCGCTATCGGAGGCACGTGGGGAGAAAAGGTCTTAGATATGGCACAGAGATATGGTAGTACTATTTTTGATAATTTCGAAATGTTTATAGTTGTCTTCTAGAACTCGATGTTCTCCCTTTGAGAAAACCTCCAGGGGAGGTTTATTCTTTGAAGGAGCTTGAAGAGGCCGTTAAATCGCACAAAGCTAGGTTGTTGTTTGTGACGCATGGGGAGTCCACTGGGGGGACTCTCCAACAGCTAGAAGGACTTGCGCCTGTGTGTCACAAGTACGGGTGTTTATTGGCTGTTGATGCTGTAGTTTCCATAGCGGTAGATCCGCTCTTCGTCGATCGTTGGGAAATAGATGCTGTTAATGCCGGTACTCAGAAAGCCATAGGTGCTCCTCCCGGAATGTGTTTACTCACGTTTAGCCCCAGAGCAGAGAAACGTATGAGAGAGCAAAAAAAGCGACCTCCGTACTACTTAGATTTGCTGCCACAAGGGGTATATTTTGACTGTTTTGACGGCGAAAGCAGAACGTACCACTACACCTTTTCCGCAAACATGCTATCCGCAGTACGTGAAGCTTTAGCCCAGATCTGCGAAGAAGGACTCATACCAATGTGGCAAAGACACAAGTCGAACGCTGAGTACTTCTGGAAACGCCTTGACGAAATCGGACTGACTTCTTTCGTGGAGAAACGCGAAAATCGGTTCCATGGAGTTACGTGCGTGAACGTACCTCAAGGAATAGATCAGATGGACTTTCTTCGCTACGTTAAACAAAAGTAAGATATCGTGAGGGTACTACTAGTACTGTAACGTTGTTTTAGGTTCGAAATTGAAATCACCCCAGGACATGGACCAACGCTGAACAAAGCCATGAGAATCGGTTTCTTGGGGGACAACAGTCGACCCGAAATAGTCGACTTCGTTATAGAAGCGTTAAAAGACGGCTTGCAGCACTTCGGAAAGTGATTTATCCTTTACTCAAGAGTTGTTTGTATTTCCGCAGTTTAAATGCAAAGTGCGTCAATAAAAAATCCCAACCTGTATACATTTGCGTGTCGAGTAGTGGTCCCAGAGCAGATCCCTGCGTGCCTGGCCTCTCGAAACGCGAACTCCTCATCGGCCCCCGCCATTAATCTTTCTCCCGACTCATAAACCGGCATAAATGTCACGTAAATTTGTATGCCAGCGGCAAGAAAATGCGGGATTCGTGATTAATACTTTTTAAATTCGAAGCTTTACGTAATAAAGCCGTTTTTTCCGCGATAAGAATTCCGTGGAAATTAACCCGGCAGATTAGCGGGCTCCGGTAGCCGGATTTATTACCATAATCCATATGGTCGTGGGTGGTGCAGAACAAATAGAATGTGTGTATCGTAAATTATCGGAACTGAGTGTATATATTTGTAGCCAGGAAAAAAGGGTGGTATCATTGGTGGCGTTTAATTACACGCACGGGTGGCACCGGCTGCACCCATTGATAAGTATGCGCTGGGTTTTTTATTAAACGCGTCGAAACGACCAGGAGATGGTATCTCAGCGCCATTCCGGTAGGTGCCCATGATAATAAGTTTAAATTTCGAAATAATTATTATAGGTTTGTGTCGTCGTATTAACGAGTGAATACAATGAAGGTTTCTAGACGGTATTGTTAAATAAAGCGAAGTCCATAACGGCGAAATTATCTGTCCATCATCAACAAGCATCATTAGGCGGGCTCTTGATGATGGGACCGATTTGGCAGCGGATATAATGGCGTGTGTTGAACTGAAGTGAAGAACAGATGGACGAAAATCGGGCGAAAATGAACCAGAAAACAGATTTTATCGGCAATTCTCGCGCCTAATCCGTGGGTTTATGCTAATTTTATTAATTAATATTAATTGCGACGTGTTCTCGACGCTCTTTGATTTTTACGCAGACGGAGAAATCGGATATTGAAATGAAAAGAACTATATAGAGTGTCTTCTTTTGTAATTTCGTGACAACTATTATCATTATTGACACTTTCGTTAGAAACAATTAAAAAAAAATGGGAAAGTATATCACATTTGCGTCACCGTTCCCAGTTTCCTTATACTGTAAACAGCAGTTCGTGACCAGCTCGGCATCTCTAGCAATCTCCATTTTTCCCTTATTCGACCTTTCACATTTTCTTCCGCAATCGATTTAACGTCAATAATTCAATATCCTGTCGAAAATATTTTTCGTTTCTCCCCCATTTGCGACTCTCTTATCTCCCACACCACCAATTCGCGCTAAAATCCCATTTTATTTGTTTACACAGCTCATCTCCATGCAAACAATAAATCATGCCACATTTCGGCTGTTTTGTCTCAAAATAGAGCTAATGGCACCTTAAGGTCGAGTCTTATGATAAAATAAATGCAAGAATAAAATTCACCAACTCCACAATTTACATTTGACAATTTTTTTCGAAAACGACATGTTGTGGACCCTCAGAGACGAGAGTGTTGAGACAATTTGGACGTGTTTATCTAAGTGGTTTTCCATTCTTTCTCCAAATCTTTGTCTCTTTTCTACCATTAAGCAAAATCATCTATCTTACTTTACACACACGTTCGATCCACTCAAAAAATATATCTCGATAAATCCACGCGAATGCATGTTGCACATATGTTTAGGAAAGGCGAGTGTTCACAGCAAGCCAATAATTTAAATTCAGAGCTGAGGAACGACATTTATCGTTTTGCTTTCGGCAAAAAGGGGAATTGCGGCTCTTTTTATTTTTCAAACTGCACTTCCAGTTTTTCAGTTTTGTGAACATCCTGCATCGCTCCTTGCATAGATTAGATAAAGTGAACCGTCTGCTGCTTTATCAAACAGATGCAAACATTACCGAGAATAAATATTCGCGGTCTCGGTCTTGACCTTTCTGGATGTTTACCGAGATGTGCTCGAAAAGTACTCGCAAAACATCGAAATAAAGGTGGTTTTATAAATCACGTCACGTTAAGATGGATTCCCAAAGAATTTGTCAATGCAACATTGAACAGGCAGAGCCAGAAGTGTGTGTGCTCAGCTACGCGTTACGTAATTGCACATCGTATAGTGTACAATAGCACCTGTATTTTGGACGTCAGTCGTTGGCCCGACGTGCGAACGTTAGAAAAACGTGCATTTTTTAATGGCAGCATTCTTGTCGAGCTCAGGACCGTCCATTCGAAAGCGTGTCTCTAAAAACCCGTTAAGATCACCTGTCAGCCGCGTTCATAATAGACAAATTGTCCGCGCGGTAGCCGGACCTTTCGAGTCCCTCAAGTTGTCCCACCTGCTCATTATCAGATCCGTTCCGTGTGGATTCGTTCTTGACAAGACAGATCTAGTAGATAAGTGAGCCGGATTGTAATTACGTTGGCAACAACAAAAACACCAAACAATGCCGAACGTAATTTGTCATAAACACACTGTAAATAAATCAGCGGCAAAAACATGGCTCCGCGATTCTCAAGGTCGACGAGCTCGGACCAGATGGCAAAAAACTGCACACAACACGCGTACACGTGAAATTCGAAAGCTTCTTTAACGCCGGATTCCAGCCAAATTGAGCCTAACGTACGACTCTCATTAACATCAAGAGTTTTAATTAGGTGACGCCCGATGAAATCTCGTCAAGGCGTGGGAAATCGAATATTAATCCATAATTTGGATTTGGAGTTAGATTCGTCAGGTTGGATGGAGAGGCCACCCAAGTTGAGGATTTTGTTGCAGAGGGCGCTGCGCTAAATTGCACTCGCGGGTTAGATGCAGAACAGGAGACGGCCGTCGAGGATTGGGCCGGACAGTGGCGGCGCAACAAAATCGCAATTAATTTCATTCATTTACCGACTACAAACCTTAAAGTAAATACTAATCGCAATACTACCTACAGGCCGGTATTTCATAACGCGAAAAGTGATTTCCGGCTTTTGTGTCAACATTGATAAAGCGAATGTGTCAACAGAATGCACTCAGGCGATTTTTCCTCGTCCGGACAAATATTTGCACCATTTAGGTTAAGTTTATCACTTTTCCTAGTATAATCTAGTTATCCGTGCCCATCACGTGTGCATACGTCACCATGAAACAGCCAATAACGGCGAAGTTCGTTTACTTTCTAAAGCGGCGCCTATAATTTAATTATTTTTAATCGTAAAATGATAAAATGAAACTGTCGACTTTCCATACGTACCACAGTTTACCTCGATTAAGGATGCTAATGACTTAAATTAGAGCAATCAGGACTTTCAAGTTTATGTATGGTTAATTATGTTACTAGACTTAATGGAACGTCAACTGAGTAATTCTGGGAGACAAAAATCGCCTATCGAATAATGCGATCACGCAAATCCATATAAGTAATGTTTATATTCCTCCAGTGGCGCCATCTGTCGTTGGCAATCCCGCTCTTACAACTACGTTATCCACCCTGAACTAGGATCACAAAATAGCTCCTACTAATCCTAAACCCCGTTTGGCTTCTAGCCCTCGGAAGCCGTCCTCCTGCCCTTCGGCAGCCGTTAATTAAAACAGATTACCATAAAACAAAGTAACAAAGTGGCTGTTTAACAAGTCCCGTTACCGAGTCCATAAATTCGATCTTTTAAAAATCCGAGTCCTCGTGTGTTGCGTGCCAGCATTTTCCGTCTCTTCGGCGGACGCGTAATCAGCTTAATTTAAAACCAAACAAATTAAGTGAATTTAAATTTCAGGTTGTCGGACGACTCTTTATTACACGTTTTAATTTGAAATTATAACTTACACTTTTATTTGTTCGCATGTTCGGCCGCTCGGTTTGGGTGGTCGCGTTTTTGTTACGGCTGTACTTAAAACTCGGCCAATGCAGCTCTTTGTGCTGAAACGGCTCCCGTTTCAATCAACTTGGCTTGGCTTTATCGGGGAAGCCCGTGCGAGGTTTCATTATAGGGGCTAGGATTTCCACTAGAAAATTGCGAAAACTTGACGTTATTTCCAGGTTCTGGTCAAGTTTGCTTTGATAAATGACGCTCTCGACGTTTCGGATCTTCTATAAGATGAAAAAGTTTGGCTCCCGTTTCCGTCTGTTTGTTGTTTACGCGATTTTATGGCGGCGGATACAAGTGATGGATTAACAAACAATGTGTGACCTTATTTACCAAGTTCGATTATTTTACATCGTCATTTAAAAAATTGTGGTAAGAATTGACTTAAAATTTGGTGTCAAAATCAACTTCTGATTTTCCATTTTGCTAGATATTTGAAAAATAGTTTAATCACCAAAAACTGAACACAAATGTCAAAAATTGGTTTCATAGCACTTAAATAAAAAAAATCAATTATCTATGTATTAGTCCACCTCAAAGTCAAAAGTTCGCAGATCCCAGCAAACGTCAAACGAAATCGGCGTAGAAGGTAAATTAAATACAGAGTAAATTTGCCAAAACTGGCACATATCAATCAGTTTTTTTGCGTTTTGGCGTGACTAAGCTGACGTCAAAACAACCAGATCGGTCCTTCGCCGACACAACAAGCGGCAACCGACCCAAGATTCGAACCCATTTTCGCAGACTGTATAATGACCGTGCGTGGACCTTATCTAGGGTAGTTTTATGGGAGGGGCCCATTGGTCCCAACACCTGCGACCGCCGACCATAAATCCTTCCAACCTCCTGATACCATCTCCGACTTTTATGACTGCGTAATATTAATTGATTTCATTACGTCACAAAACAACAAAACCACTCTTCATCCACTTAAACCCATTGTTATTATAGTCAATGAACTTGAGGCTAATATTTCACTTGTTTAAACCCGTCTCCATTACTATAATTCGTTTTAAATTGCTCCCGTTCTTAGTTAACGACTCCTCGTCCTCATCTCGGGCCAGGAATCACCTGCTTCCGGTCCTCGCGTCACACCACACCGCACATAACCTCAACCCCTAACCCCCGGCACCAAAAATCTGCCGAATTTCGAAAATCGCGCCGAAAAAAAAACCAAGACCACTCACCGCCTCCTGGAGCAACCCCACGACCGAAGTCCTCACTGACACCACCACTACGTGTTTTCCATTTAAAAGTTCGCTGGTTCTTTGTCGGGTTCGAGCGATTTGGACGCGCACCATACGACAAGACGGCCACAAACAACTGACTAGCGAGAGCCGAGGCGATACGAAACCGGCACGAACTCAACAGGTGGCCATATTGTTGTCTGGAAGGGAGGTAGATGGTTTTTTTCTTCGGTCTTGGCTGCTTCCAAAGTTATAAAATCAAATCTGTTTCCAAGCGGCGGCTCCTTGTGGGCCGCCGAGATTAATTGAATCTAGTTGGCGAGCTGCGTGCTGCCAACCGCGAGGAAGGAAATTGGGGGAAGGAGGATGAGAGCCCTCGGCGAGGGCCTCGGGCTATCGGAGCGAGGTCTAGAATTTTCAGGTTCGAATAATATTTGGGTAATATCAAGTTAGCTAACGCTAACGAGGTTCAACAAATAGGGAAAAAAGGGGAATTGCAGTTGGCTATGAGTTTAAATAACACGTGGGTTTTAAAGTTGGTGCTTATTTTATGGGGTAACTTGTAGCGGTGTTTATTGTAATAATAAGGACTTGCAGTCACTGTTGACTTGAGACATCCACCTACGAAACGTGCCAGCGTTCACTTTCATATGTGTTTCACTTCACGTACTAGAGTTAACTCTGTGGTGTTGTCATCAGATAACAAACCCATGTTTATGTGATGTACATATTATTGAAGAATTTCACTCGGTGTGTGTCACAAACAAATCATTGTCACACTCGATAATTACATAGATATAATAATAATTGACATTTTTTTCACGACCGCTCCGCTTTGACTAATCCAAGTGGTTCAGACACACCTAGCTATGAGTTCATATCTACAAATAAAAAACGAATCGGAGAGACTGAAATTTCGGATATGAACTGGCGCAAATTCGACTCTTTGGAACCGTGGCAAAACTTTTAATAAATTAGGGCCCATAGAAATCAAAAATCATGTAGTGATTTCTTGCTTGAGTGAAATTTTTGACTATTTTTGACAAAGAACCCCTAAAATCGGCCGACTTTGATCTGAAATTTAAAATAATTACTCACTCTTCCACTGCTAAACATGAATTGGCCTGGAACGTTATTTTCGAATCCGCGAAAATTTTGTGACGTTGGATGGCATAAGTTAGGGTTAGTAACGACTGCCAAATGTAGTAACTAACTTGACAAGGCAATAAAAGTTTAATGGGTACAAAAATATCGTTCTGAATATACAATGATATATCTTTTCATATAACCCACAATTTTATTGTTAAAGAATATACTGGGTGTCTGGAGGTGTATTATTTTGGGAACCCATGGAGATTTTTTTTGCAAAGTATTTAAAACAGTTTTGGAGGACGTTGTTAGAGAGTATGTAATTTGCCAAAATCAGTCTTATCGTAGATTGTAGCTGCTAAGATAAAACTGATTTTGGAAAATAACGTACCCTCTAAGAGAAGAGAGGGTGGGTGCGCGGGGCTAGTAGCTGCTAAGATAAAACTGAATCACTCTTATCTTAGAAGTTTCTAGCCCCGCCCACCCGCCCTCTCTTTTCTTAGAGCAGATCTCATTTGCCAAACTCAGTCTTATCCTAGCTAGTAGCTGCTAAGATAAAATTAATTTTGGCTAATGAGATGCCTTCTAAGAAAATAGAGGGCGAGTTGGGTGAGGTTAGTACCTGCTAAATAACATCGATTTTGGCAAATGACACACCCCCTACGAAAAGAGAGGGTGGGTGGACGGGAGTAGTACCTGCTAAGATAAAACTGACTTTGGCAAATGACATATTTTCTAAGAAGAGTGGATGGGTGGGCGGGGCTAGTAGCTGCTAAGATAAAACTGATTTTAGCTGGTATTAGCTCCGCCCACCCGTCCTCTATTTTCTCAAAGGGTGCGTCACATGCCAAAATCGATCTAAGATTAGCAGGAAGTAACCCGGAAAACCCGCCCTCTCTTTTCTTAGAGGGATCTCATTTGCCTAAATCACTCTAATGTTAGCAGGTACTAGCCCCGCCTACCTACCCTGTCTTTTCTTAGAAGGTATTTCATTAGCCAAAATCACTCTTATCTTAGCAGTTTCTAGCCCCGCCCACCCGCCCTCTCTTTTCTTAGAGCAGATCTCATTTGCCGAACTCAGTCTTATCCTAACTAGTAGCTGCTAAGATAAAACTAATTTTGGCAAATTACATATCCTCTAAGAAAAGAGAGGGTGGGTGGGCGGGTCTAGTAACTGCTAAGAGAAAACTGATTCTGGCAAATCACATTCCTTCTAAGAAAAGAGTGGGTGGGTGGGCGGGGCTAGTAACTGCTAGGATAAAACTGATTTTGGCAAATCACATACCTTCGATGAAAAGAGAAGGTGGGTGGGCGGGGCTAGTAACTGCTACGATAAAACTGACTTTGGAAAATGACATATCTTCTAAGAAAAGAGTGGGAGGATGGGTGGGGCTAGTAGCGGCTAATATAAAACTGATTTTAGCAGGTACTAGCCCTGACCACTCGCCCTCTTGTGTTTAGTTTGTTATGCTTTAATGGATTTTTCTTTTGTTGGTTTTGCTTTTTGTTTGTAATTTATAAATGTCTTATGAAATGTTTTTTTTGTTGGTTTATTTATTAATGAAAAATAACGGTTTGTCTTATTAATAACAATGCACAACGATTAATGACTATTGGTTGTTATGGTCAGGCGCAGATACAGGATTTCGTTTAGGGGGGGGAAATTTTTGTGCGATTTTTACCTATCTCCCAGAAATTCGTTCTAAACAAAAAAATTTATAAAATTTTAGCTAGTATACTCTTTTTCACATTACATGGGTGACATTTGGTTGTTTTCGTTACACGTATAGTGTACAGTAGAACCTCGATAATCCTAATTAATTGGGAAAAAGATGTGTTCGGATTAACAATTTGTTCGGATCAGCGATTTTCCCAAAAATCTGAAAGGGAATTGAATAACAACTTCATACACAACTGAAAACAAATTTCGAAATAAACCTAAATTTTGTTAAACAAAATTAAAGAATTCTTAAGCAACAATGGATAATAGATACATTCTAAAAAATATTACTACGTGACCATAAGCACGCTATCTTTTTGGAATCAACACGCCGGGATCTATACCATGAATTTTTAGATGAATTTTTCAAAAAGGAAATTTTCCATAATGTATTTTGATTAGGTACTCTATTATGCAAATTTCGACCCATTCTCGACGATTTTCGAAATTTAACTCGATACATTTTCTTGTAGATATTGGGCCTCAGAAGTCACTTCTGGCTTCATTTCTTCAATAACTTAAACCATTTTTCCCGAATCGTTCAGTTGAAATATCGCAATTTTTAAAAAAATTCGAATGTCAAAGCGAATTTTCCGAAAATATTGCTCCGTGACCATAAACATGCTATATTTTTGGAATCAGCACGTCGGGATCTATATCCTATCAATTTTTTCAGAATTTTTAGTAAACTTTTTCAAAAATGAAATTTTCCTCATGCAAATTTCGACCCATTTTCGACGATTTTCGAAATTTAACTAAATACTTTCTCTTGTAGATTTCGGGTCTCATTTCTTCGATAACTTCAACCTTTTTTCCAGAATTAGTTAATTAATTCAGTAGATTGAACTATCGCAATTTTTAAAATTTCGAAATATTCCATTCAACATGTGTCGAAAGATCTTGCGTCATTTTTGCAAGTAGGTGCATGTTTTCAAGTTCAGTTCGGATTGTAGAGTTTTTGTTCGGATTAAAGAGGCATCGACTTCAAATAGCCTCTGTTCGGATTACTGGATGTTAAGATAATCGTGAGTTCGGATTATAGAGATTGTACTGTAATTACAAAATGAAATGCGATTTCAAAATTTTGAAATTGGTCAAAATTAAGACCTCGGTCGTGCACCCATTGCCCCCCCCCCTTGGATCCGCGCCTGGTTATGGTTATTGTCCTAAAAAAATGAAAGGTACGTGCAGTGTTGCCAATTTTACTAAAGTAAAATTGCAGAAAATAAAATTAGGTTTTTTTCGTAATCTACATCATAAAGTTTTTTTTCACTAGCAGCCATGACGCATGCAAATGTCGACTCATTTAGAGGTAGCAAATTCAACTTTTGCGACCACCGGTTCAAAAAGAAAAATTTTGGTTATGTACGCAATGTTTGATGTGATTATTTCTTAAGAAATGAACAAATGTGTGCTACAAACATTACTTGAGTATACGCATGGTAGTTGGTAGACCGTAGAAGATAAAATGATTAATTCAGCGAAAAGTATAAACGGTTTTCTTTGTGTTGAAGATTTAGATTAAGTTTGATTAGAAATCAAAACAAAATCATGTTGCGTAAAAAAATTGAACGTTTATTTTTTCAGTTTATTGTCTTATGGTTTCTACTAGTGAAAAAAATAGTATATTAACCATGATTGCAAAGCCATTTCTAGACCTCGCGCTTCAGAGCCCTCGACGCTGCGCGTCTCGGGTTCTAATTTGCGCTCGGTCTAGAATGCTTGGCTTTGCAACCTTGGCTAATAATATACTATTTTATGTACATAACGTGCTGTAGAGTTAATTCGCTATTTTCCAGACACCCGGTATCTAGTTGGTTATTTCTGCTCCCCTCAGATAGATAGTTATATCTGAATTTAGATCGACACTTGTCACAGTACTTCGTTAACGGTTTAGTAGCTAAAACACTTTACTTTCGAGATACACAGATGATTTTTTCTTTGGTTGTGAAATATTTGTATACCTTTTTCGTTTTCTGTATCTTCTTCATTAAAAATTGCAATTCTACTTATAATATTAAAAACTTAGGCTTTAAATAAATAAAATTGAATAGAAAATGTGTCATAAAAAGAGTCTCACAGTGATATTTCCATGTCGCTGTAACTATCTTTAGTAACCTTACACACCGGAATATTATCCGCATGTTTCACAAGACATCTTGTTAACGCAATAAATAAATTCTCCATTCATAAATCTAGCTATAAAATATCCACACATTTAAGCATTTCGTTCTTTTAAAGTAAACCTATTTCCTGCACCAGTGCACCCCATGTAACTAACACAAACAACAAATATCCCCAACTTCCTAACACCCTTCCTTGCGTAAATATTTGTGTAATAAAAGAAGTATGAGAATTAGCCGCTGAGATCGCTCTTATAAAAATAAACAACATGTAAATAGGGTTTGTGTTACGAGGTATTATTACCACCATACAATCTCTGGAAATTATCACCACAAAAAAACGCAATCAAGCCAAAAACATATGTTAAAGATCAAACTAGAAAATAAACTATTGCATCAAGCGATAAGCAAAACCTTCAGATTTAAAAATGATTAACCTCCGTGTGATCACGTTTGTTGCTCATAGCCACTGCCACTACTTTTTTTCTTCCGCCCAAACCCCCATAAATAACTCTCCTATCGCTCATGTTCCATCAGCACCAACAATTTATTTATTATTTCAGCCACGAAGAATTATCTCCACCTAATTTAAGCCATTGTATTCTTCCTCCTCTTCGAACATTCCATATCGACCATCTTAATGCACTCCGACTCACTTATCTAATGGCCATGAATCCGAAATGACCATCCTTCTCCATACATGTCATCAAATAATAAGGTTCGAGAACTGAAAACTACCAATGTTAAAAGGTTAACCTTGATAAAACTTAATACTTTTCTGATAAGTAGCTGGTAATAACAACGCTCAACATGCGAAGTGGCATTCCATTAGAATAATTCGCACTGAAAGTACCACGAAAATGGATGTTCAGCCACCCCAAGTTTTGAAAACGCCGCTGCAGGTGCCCAGGAAGACGCTGATGGGACCGGGACCTTCCAATTGCTCCCCGAGGGTCATGAATGCCATAGGGCAGCCTATTTTGGGACACATGCATCCGGAGATATTCAAGGTTAGTTCTGCGGGGACTGTTCAAAGTTACAGCAAACGTGTAATTATTTTTGAGTGAGTGTTGCCAGTAACATGCAAGTGTTGAACGCTTACGTACGAAAAATTGATAAACCAGACTAATAATTACACACCCTGATGTGAATGCGCAATGCGGCACATTTTCCCTTTTTGTAGTAAGAGGTCTGCAAAATGTAGGCGGCACATGATAGTTGCAAATTCTACAGAGCTGGATTTTTTCATAATAAATTCTAACCTTTGATCTTTTACACACCCAAAGTCGAAATAGACACAATCAGTATCTTCCGCTGTTAGGTTAAGGCCAGTAAATGTTGGAAGTCTATGTATTATCAGTAATCATCAAATTTATAGACTTCGTTTCATAAAAACCAGTATTTTAATAAAAGTCTGTGTACAGTAAAGGTCAAAAGTATCTGGTCGCTAGTTAAAACGTGCGGTGGGTATTACAGCTAACAATTTGTAGGTATTAGAGTCGTGAATGGTAGCAGAAACTCAGTAATTAGTTTGAAAATGTGAGGCAACTGTTAAGTATATGTAATTAAAAGTAAGTTCAAGGATGCCACATTACTTTTAGCCCAACCATGTTATTATCCCCGCGACACCGAAAAAATCAGCATATACAGAGACAATTCGTGGACTACTACCTCAGATCCTTTTAACAGTGTTACTCATATTGTGTTATCTACTTGTTACGATTTAAGAGGTACCGCCTCAAATAAAACCAAGCCCTTACAGACTTTCTCAGGCGTTACATTTGACCTTAAAGCCTCTTTTAAACCATTAAATAACGACATGACTCTAGTAGAATTTCATTGAGTCATTCTTATTTTACTATTTTAATTGCTGGCTTATTTTTATCACAGCATTGTTACTAATTATTGCTATAATTACCGAATTGTGCTCATACCAACCGTTTCTCTATTATTAGACCCGAGCTTTGGAAAAACCTGAAAATGGTCTAAAATAGTACAAACTGTAATAAGTTGAGAGTGAGATAAAAATCGCGCAAGGAAATCCGTCAAATTACCGACAAAAACGACTCCCCTTTGTACAACCAGCTAGAAATAACAGTTTACGCTAAACTGAGCCCAAATAGCCATAATTAACCGGTGTTGAATGATAATGCGTTGAAAGCCCTAATGAAATTTTACGATTCTACGCGACATACCTAGTTTTTTTTAATGATCTATATTAGCAATTAAAATACTACAGATAATGGACGACATCAAAGAAGGCATCCGCTATGTATTCCAAACCGCTAACCCCCTCACCCTCGTCGTTAGCACGTCCGGCCACGGCGGCATGGAAGCCGTCCTGTGCAACCTCCTCGAGCCGGGTGACACCGCGCTCATCGCCATCAACGGCATCTGGGGCCAAAGAGCGGTGTCCATGGCCACTCGCTACGGCGCTCGGGTGGTCACCCTCGAAACAGAAGTCGGTAACAACTTCACCCTCGCCCAGATCGAAAACGCGGTCCACAAGCACAAACCAACCCTCCTGTTTGTAACCCAAGGGGAGAGTTCTTCAGGAGTGTACCAGAACGTGGAAGGAATTGGCGACATCTGTCACAGATATGGGTGTCTTCTAGCTGTCGACACGGTAGCGTCGTTGGGCGGAGTTCCGCTATTCGTGGACAGATGGGGCATCGATGCGGTGTACACGGGGTCGCAGAAGGTGCTAGGGGCACCTGCGGGGCTAGCGCCTATTTCGTTCAGTCCTAGAGCACAGTAAGTTCAACTTTCCAAATTGTAACTATTATGGTTACATTGTTGTTACTAGGGAGCGAATTTTTGCTCGGAAGACCCCGGTGAAGGTTTTATACTGGGATATGACTGTTTTGGGGGACTACTGGGATTGTTTTGGGCGTTCCAGGGTTTATCACCACACTATTGCGTCGCAGTTGCTTTACGGGTTGAGGGAGGGGCTCGCGCTTGTGGTAGAGGAGGGGCTGGAAAATGTGATTCAGAGGCACCAGGACTGTGCCCAGCGGTTCTATCAAGGTTTGGATAAGTTGGGTCTGCAACTGTTTGTCGAAGACGAGTATAAAAGGTTGCCTACGGTCACTTCTATAACGGTGCCCGATTGGGTGGACTGGCGCGACGTGGTCGCTTACGCCATGAAGAAGTAAGTTTTGAATTTCGCGACTCACTACTAATTTGAAATTTTAGTCACTTTGTGGAGATCAGCGGTGGTTTGGGTCCTACCGTTAATAGAGTTTTTAGGGTGGGGTTGATGGGATATAATGCGACTCAGGACAATGTGGACCTGGTTTTGCGAGTACTGGGGGAGGCTTTGCACTACGCACAAGGTGTTCAACGTAGTAAACTATGAAGTGTTTGTGAAGCGTTTATTCTAGCTAGCAGGTACACTTATATATAGCTTGATTGTTATAATGTGGCATTACCATTTCCAGTCCTAATTAATGTCAACAGAAGAAATAAAATTACCAAATGCAATCTTGAGGCCCTCTTTATCACTATATTACATCTTATTAATAAAAAAGTTAGTTGGATAATAATAGTATGATTAAGACTTAACTAGAAAAAAACTAACAACTTTACAAAGCGTATGGTTTTATAATCATACAGCAGAAATATGTACAATAGTTATAACATGCTATAATATGTACACCGGGCGGGCTGTCATTCACTTTCATATAATCTCGTCAGTCTTGTCGTCTTCCTGTGCATGACAGGTGTTTGACAGCACGCCCAATGGACACGACACTCACGCACTCAGACTCTGTAGTATATAACCTAACGAATAATTTAGAAAATACTGTATTATTGCAAGGGAGATTCCGATTACAATTAAATGCTCTTGCGAGTCAATTGTTTAAGTACCTAAAGAAATTTTTGGGGGATGGCACCAAATGATATGTCCTACATGATATAGATACAACGGGAAAATGAACAAGAACTCGTACACAAAACTGTACAAATCAAAAAACCACAAGTATAAATATTATACATAACAAGAATCAGTTCATGTCCAAGTTCCTCACCCTATCAGCCTTCATCTCTAGTGAGTATTAGGTCTCCGCGAAGAAACCTATAAACTATGGAATAACTTACACAATGTCAATAAATAGTGATTCAGTGCAGTCAAATAATTAAGTAAAATCCCGCCGAAAACTACATATAAAAAAATAAATAAATAATCTGTCAAAACCCGAATTAGTTGACTGCGCCATCTGCACATACCTAACCTAGAAAACAACATATTCTACTTTATCGAATAAATACGACAGCTCCATCCATCCTGTCTCAGTCTTCTTTGGTAAACGGTAACTGGACTTCAAGTCCTTAAAGTTCTAAGTCAGTCTAGTTTCACTAGCGACTTCCATCAGTACATCTTCAGCTCTTCTGTAACCTATGATTCTTCTTATGTCTGTACTTCTTGCACTCTTTGTAAGTGCAGCACAAATGGGAGTTGTTCTTCCTACCCAAATCCTCCCCCTGCCGTTGCCTCTTCTTCATCTTAAACTTCAACTCACACGCAGCCCTGTCGCACTCCCTCCAACACGAAGACTTACCATTCTGCAAAAACAAAACTCAACTTCGCCCCTGGAATCACCCAATCAACTTACCTGACACTTGCAAGTCACGCACTTGTACTCCCCCAACGAACCAATCAGCGGATGGTACTCCTTCCCGTTCGGGTACGGCTTCTTGGGGTCGTACAAATTCTTGCAGCCCCCTTTGAGTAAAACCTCCGTCGGACTCGGGCCTGGAGGCGGCCTAGGAGAAATCGTCCTGGTGCCTTCAACTCCCGTGGTACTACCATCATCTGCAGGGAAAGTACCGTTCACGCTATAATCAACTCGGCCGCAATTCCTACAACAGTCCTTCTCGTTCGTGATCCTCTTGCACTTAATCTCGAGATAAATGGGGTCGCAGGTGCACTCGGTACAATTATCGAACCCAGTGGGGATCAAAAACGGACGAAACTTGCTACTGGGAGAGTAGGGTTGTCCGTTGAAAATACACTTCTGGGGGACGTTCCGGTTGGTCTCCATTTGGGTCGTGGAGTTGACACAAATGGGACAACACTCCCCTGGGACTTCCATGAGGTTCTGCGGCGACGTGCAATTAACCGGGGGACACTTCATGGTGAAGCAATTGTGGACTCCGTTCTGGCAAAAACACATAGTGCAGGGATTCGCGCCCGAAATCCATTGAGTCTCCTCTTGGTAAAACTTTCCTTCGTATAGACAATCACCCGTGGGACCACCGGGTTCGTCGGTGACCCCATCCGGTGCAGTGGCTAGTTGACAACCGAAGGGTACCCCCACGTGACGCACCGTAGCAACCAATAACGTTATCCCAGTGTCTTGTTCTTTCACCTTAAGGAACCCGACACCGCTATCCAGACGCCTGCTTTCTTCCCGGGTTAGTGCGTTGACTGGGCTGCCTTCCACTTGGTTACCTTGGAACTCGTCGAGGTGGCGCGTGATTACGGGAGCCCCAGGGGCTAACATTGGCAGAAGTTCCAAGCTAAGTTCCAGCTTCCTTTCACTACCGAGACCCGAAAGGGACACGTCGTAGTGGATGTAACAGTCGGTGTCGACGTTAACCCAGGCCAAACCTACTGCAGACGCAGGAAGGGTGTAGTTTTCCCGTTTTAATAAAAACGGGGCTGGAGCGTCACGGGCGTCAGCCACGGGTTTAGGGACGAGCCGGCCGCGGATCAAACTCGTGTCGTTAGGGGTGGCCACGTTGACGGTCAAATTCCCGGCGTACAGAGGCTCAAGAACCTTAGGACTAAGCTTAACCAAAGTTCCGTTAGCCCAACCATTAATAAAGTCAAAGGTTGGGGTTAAGTCCTCGAGTTCGGTGCGTCGCTTGGTGGAAACGTCCACCAGAGTAATAAAAGTGGTATTGTCCGGGGTTGTCCGTAAATTGTCAATCTGGACATTGTAGACCAGAGAACCCTCATTGTTGAGGTACAACCAAGCCAACCCTGACGTTCCATAACCATTGGCTTCAGAAGCACTAGGAGCCAGCGTTGTTTGGAAGATTTCGCACGTCACCTTAGTAAGGACGCTACCGCTGAGGCGTAACGCTTCTGGTTTAGACACGGACGAAATGGTAAGGACAAGTCTCCCTCGGGTTAGCAGCCGCAAGTCGGCGGAAGTTACCGGAGAACGAATCTCAATCACGTTAAGTTCGTAGTGCGGCTTCTTAACAATAGCGACCTAAAAATAGCACGATTAGTGGATACACGCAACATAATGTGACAGGTGTTATTACATCTTGAAGGATGAACCTCTTGTCGTCTACAGACAAAGTCACGTTGATTGGAACATCAGCGATGTCATCAATAGCGAAAAGCCCGTTGAACACGATGGCCAAATAAATCGACGTCGACACCGACGTCGAAATCGACACAATCGCGGTACCACCCGCCCCCGCCATCAATCCATTAGTCCCCGCGGGCTCCAACAGCGAGCTGAAGTTCTCCGTCCCTAGAGCGGCGTACTTCATGACTTGGCCGCTCAAGGTGAACTCCGCTTGATCCTTGACGCCCCAGACGAGTACCACGTACATTTTTTCCTGGCGGAAGCGCTTGCGGTACTCGTGGGGGATCCGGCGCCACACTCCGCACACCTTCCGGGTTGCGTTCTGGTACAAGCTGTTGACCAGGCCGCCGGCACGGGATAGGATGAACTCCTCGAGGATGTTGCCTTCGCTGTCGACGAACTGGAGGGACCGGGGGCGGGCCGCCTTGTCGGAGATGTAGAACGAGTAGTAGAGGTTCTTCTTGTGGAAGGTGAATCTTCCGGTAGCGACTACGTTGTTCTTGTTGAGGTTGTTGGAGGTGAGTTTGCCGAAGTCGTTCCGCAGGACCAGGGAGGAGCGTTCAGTGAGAAGAGCAGCGTAATCTGGAAGGGGGTGTTTTAGATGGGGGTTGAGGGGGAGACGGGGTGGCTTACGTTTGGTGCTGCTTTTCTCCTCGTCGTCGAGGACCTTCTGCGGAATTATGTCTTGGATGACGTCGGCATCTGGAATCGAGATTTTTTCTTTAAATTTCAACGAAAAGTGAGTTTTCGGTTAGTTTACTATAATTTGTTGCAAACAATATTAAACCTTCTAAGAAGTCTACTCTTATTTATCCTATACTTCCACTTAAAAAAAAAATTGGTCGCAGGTTATTTCGACAGAATAAAATTTTTAAAAAAATTCAGAAATTAATTTATGAATCGTAAAGTCGAAAAATTTAAAAAATCGAAAAACCGAAATGTCAAACGGAATCAAAAAATCGAAAAATGAAAAGTTCAAAAAAATCGAAAAATTGAAAAATAGAAAAATCAAAAAATTCAAATTTTAAAAAATCCAAAAATTGGAAAATCGAAAAATCGAAAGGGCGAAAAATCAAAAAACCGGGAAATTGAAACATCGAAAACTTGTAAAATTGAAACATCGAGAAACGACACATAAAAGATCGAGACACCAAGGAATCGAAAAGTCCAGAAGTATAAAATTCGAAAAATTGAAACATCGAAATGGTCTAAAATCGAAAAGTTAAAACTAGAAAAATTAAAATTAAAAAAAAAATCGAAATATCGAAATCTTGGTAAATCGAGAAATCGAAAAATTTAAAATCGAAATTTGATAAATTGTTAAAATCAGAAAATTGAAAAACTGAAAAATATAACTATTGAACTGAAAAATCGAAAAAGTCGTTAAAACCGAGAAATCAAAAAATTGGAAAATCGAAAAATCAAAAAGCTGAAAAGTCAAAAAATCGGAAAACCGGCAAATCCAAATATGAAAACTTGAAAAATTGAAACATCGAAAAATTCTAAATTCCAAAAATTGAAAAATCGAAATCCTAATAAATCGAGAAATCGAAAAATTTTAAATCGAAATTTCATAAATTGTAAAAATCAAAAAATTGAAACACCGAAAAATTTAAAACCGAGAAGTCTAAAAATCGAAAGAACAAGAAATCGAAACGTCAAAAATCAATTTAAAAATTTGAAAAATTAAAAAATGGCAATGTTGAACTGAAAAATCTAAAAATCAAAACACCCGAAAGACCGAAAAATTGAAAAACTGAAAAATCCAAAGTTTGAAAATGTAAACAATTGAGAAATCGAAAAATCGAGAACTTAAATAATCGAAAAACTGAAAAAACTGAAAAATCAAAAATCAATCGAGAAGACGAGAAATCGAAAAGTGGAAAAATCAGAAAATCGATTAATCGTCGAAAAATCGGAAATTTTGAAACGACAAAAATTGAAAAATCGAAAAATTTACTTTGACGAATGCAGAAATTGAAGAATCGAAATATTGAAAAGCCCAGAACTGAAATACATTTCAAAAACTGAAAAATCAAAGTAAAAGTATTTCAATACATTGAAAGATTGAGAAATCGAAAATTCTAAAAATTGAAACATCGAGAAAGTAAAAAACCGAGTAATCGAAAAGTCGAAAATTCGAAAAATTGATAAATCGAAATAGCCCGAAATCTAAAAAAGTTAAAATTGAAAAATTTAAAATAAAAAAAATCGAAAAATCGATAATTAGAAAAACTGAAATATCAAGGAATTAAACAATCAAAAAATGGAAAGATCGAAAGCTCGATAAATGGAGACCCCTAAAAAATTTAAAATCGGAATTTTAAAAACTGAAGAACCGAAAAATTTAAAACCGGGAAGTCGAAAAATCGAAAGATCAAGAAATCCAAACGTCAAAAATCTGAAAAATCTAAAATTTAAAACTACAAAAAATTGGAAAACGGAAATATTGAAGAACTGAAACAGTGAGAAATCGAAAAATCTATAATTTTAAAAACTGAATATTTGAAAATATCAAAAAACTGAAAGATCGAGAAAAAATAAATATCAAAAGACCGAAAATTGAAAAGTTGAAAGATTCAAAGTTTAAAAATCGAATTATTGAAAAATCCCGAAATTGGGATATCGAAAAATTGAAAAATCCCAAAAGGTACATCGAAAAATCGAAAAACTGAAAATCGACAAATCGAAAAGCCGAAAAAACCAAGTCGAAAAATCTCAAAACTGAAACATCGGTAAATCGAAAAATCGAAAATTTTAGAAATCGAAAATTGAAAACTGATAAACTGAAAAACCGAGAAATCAAAAAGTCGAAAAATCGAGACAGATTAATCATACTGAGAAATCGAAACATTGAAAATTTAGAAACGTCAAAAATTAAAAAATCCAAAAATTTAATTTGAAGAATCGAGAAATAGAAAAATTGGAAAATCGAAGAATTGAAAAATCCCAAAACTGGGACACCGATAAACTGAAAAATCGAGCATTCGAAAAGTCGAAAAATCCAGTTCAAAAAATCGAAGTCGAACTATTGAAAATTTAAAAAATCGAAGAAAAATTGAGAACCCAAAAACCAGAAAAATCGAAAAATTCAAGAACTGAAAATCTGAAAAATCGAGAAGACGAAAAACAAAAACAACGATTAATCATCGAAAAATCGTAAATTTTCAAACGACAAAAAATCGAAATATTGAAAATCTCAGAAGTGAAATACATTTCAAAAAACTGAAAAATCAAAGAAAATTCGAAAACTTGAGGAATCGAAATAACCCGAAATCTAAAAAAGTAAAAATTGAAAAATTTTAAATAAAAAAAATCGAAAAATCGAAAATTGGAGAAACTGAAAAATCGAGGAATTTAAACAATCGAAAAATGAAAAGTTCGAAATCTAGATAAATTGAGAAACCTAAAAATTTAAAATAGGAATTTTAAAAACTGAAAAACCGAAAAATTTAAAACCGAGAAGTCGAAAAATCGAAAGATCAAGAAATCGAAACCTCAAAAATTTGAAATATCTAAAATTTAAAACTTCAAAAAATTGGAAAAACTGAATTGAAACTGAAAAATTGGAAAATAGAAACATCGAAAAACTGAAAAATCGAGAAACAGAAATATCAAGACCGAAAATTGAAAAGTTGAAAGATTCAAACTTTAAAAATCGAAAACGTGAAAAATCGAGAAAATTCAATCGAAAAATCGAAATATTGAAAAATCCTGAAATTGGAATATCGAAAAATGGAAAAATCCCAAAAGGTAAATCGAAAAATCGAAAAACTGAAAATCGAGAAATCGAAAAGCCGAAAAATCGAAAAATCGAAAATTGAAAACTGAAAAACCGAGAAATCGAAAAATCGAGAAATAGATTAATCGTACTGAGAAATTGAAACATTGAAAATTTAGAAACGTCAAAAATTAAAAAAAAGAGAATTCGAAAAGCCGAAAAATCGAATTCAAAAAATCGAAGTCGAACTATCGAAAATTTAAAAAATCGAAGAAAAACTGAGAACTCAAAAACCTGAAAAATCTAAATATTAATCTAGAAACTGAGAAATCGAAAAATCGAAAATTTAGAAACGTCAAAAATGGAAAAACCGAAAAATTTAATTTGAAAAATCGGAGAAAAATTGAAGAATCGAAATTTGAAGAAATCGAGAAATCAAAGAATTGAAACGTTGAAAAATTTAACTATTGAAACGTCTAAAAATTTTAAAATCGAAAAATCAATTTAAAAATCAAAAATTGAAAAATCGAAAATCCAAAGTCTAAAAATCGAGAAATCAAAAAATTCAAATTTTAAAAAATCGAAGAGCCGAAAAGAAGAAAATCGAAAAACTGAGACAACGAAACATCGAAAACTTGAAAAATTGAAACATCGAACAAGGAAACATCAAAAGATTGAGACACCGTGAAATCGAAAAAATCGAAATAGCCCAAAATCGAAAAGTTAAAAGGAGGAATTGAACAATCGAAAAATCAAATATCGAGCAATCGAAACATCAAAAAATCGTAAAATTATAAAATAGAAAAATTAAGAGATCGAAAACTTGAAACACTGAGAAATTTAAACAAAAAAAAAAAAATCTAAAAATTTTAAAAATCGATAAACGGAAATGTTAAGAAATCAAATAAAAAAATCATAAAATCGAAAAATCTAAATTTAAAAATGAGACACGAGAATTAGAAAAACTGAGAAGTTTAAAATTCGAAAACGTGAAAAGTCGAAATGGCCCAAAATCGAAAAGTTAAAAATTTTGAAAATCAAAAAATTGAAAAATCAGAAACCTGAAAAATCGAAGAATTGAAAAATTCAAAGAGAAGGAATCGAGAAATAGAAAAACCAAAAACTGATTAATCCGGAAACTGAGAAATCGAAAACTTAGAGATGTCAAAGTTTGAAAAATCGTAAAACTGAAACATCGAGAAATCGAAAATTTGGAGAATCTAGAAACTCAATTTCGAAAAATTGAAAAATCCCAACACCGAAAGATCCAAAAATTGGGTACCTAACCGAAAGACTGAAAATCGAAAAATTGAATAGTGAAAATTCAGAAATTGATAAATTGAAGAAAAACAAACTGAAAAATCCTTAAAACTGCAATCAAAAAACAGAAAAATCGAAAATTCGAACAATTAAGAAATCGAAAATTGAAAAATCGAGAAATCGAAAAATGGGGATGAGCAAACAGATTTTGGTTTGGTTTGAGTGTTTGTCTAATAAAAATCGTGACAGATGGAAACGAGCGAAATATCTTTTCGCATCTAGGGGTCACGAAACGTCGAGAAAACATGAAAACAGCAGTCGCCCGATGGACTCTTTTACATAACTTCCTTATCTTACGCTCGGGAAGTAAAAGCTTATATTTTATTAACACACATTAACGCAAATGTCAAAGGAGTGATTAAACTTCAGTACGTTCCTCGCACGAACCATGAATACTAAACCGTCGGCACGTAGGCGCCATATGGAATTCTTCAAAATTTCGTCAAGCCGATGGTCGACGAAAAAAAAAGTCTGCGCAATTTCGAATCGCCATCGTTCATACTATACATTTTACACACTATCTCGGTCCGCCCGCGGCCGGTTTATGCGGTTTCGGGTGTCTGCGCGTTGCGCTGCAGTTTTGGTGTAAACGCTAAAAATTCTCGGTGCCTCTTTTGTTTCCTTGAGCGAAGGTTGTCGCATTAATCGAGGCCAGAGCATC